ATAGGGTCAAACATTAAAGTAATAGGGAGCATCTGCATTCCTGAAATATCCAATATTAACGAGGAAGAACCTGCCAGAAGCATAGTGTATGTGCCTGCACCGAGGCTCACACCCTGAAATACCACTCATGAACACTTCAGCTCTTTAGTCATTGGAAAGGCATAGATTTATTAAGAAAGGATCCTATTTTGCTACTGATGGCTTCATGTCACAAGAAAGTAAATTGAGTTTGCGGTTTTGTTGCAAATGGCATGTGCTGTGTGTAGCATTCTTTCTGTGGAGAGAGAGGCATTCATGGTGTGTATCCTGTTTCATCACCATGCGCGTAGCTTAAAATGTGACCTTAATTATGAATAGTTTAAGTAAGGACCTTTTCTGCCCTTGGGTGCTTCTTTCCACTCCCAGGGAACTGAGCACCAGGAATGAGGACTGTGTAGTACAGATTGAAGAGCAGAATCCTGATGAGAGGCGTTTGACTTATCAGATCCATTTCCTGAGCCAATTTCTTTTTTTTTTTTTTTGTGTTGTTATAGTGGAAGGAGAAGAATATTGTCCCCGGCTGATGCCGCCACCATTGATAATCTTATCAATATCTACTTGCAGGGACATCTCTAAGTAATTGCACAAGTTCAAGCAGAGACAACACCGGACTGGGACTCAGGAAACAAGTGTAATTTCTGGATCCCCCTGGCATGACTTTGGGCAAATCAGTTCTCTCTGTGTGCCTCAGTTTCCCATCTGCATTTGGAGATCATGATCCCTCTTTTGTAAAGCTATGAATGAAAAGTGAGTGTTGTATCATAGCTGGTTGTTATTATGTAGAAGCATGTCTTTATAAGGAACATACATTTTCATTACCCTGTAATGAAAAGCTTTGGGATATATAAGGTATATAACTCCAGGTACAGACCATTGACTTAGGGATTATTTCAACTCTACAATCAAAGTCAAAGTTATGTGAGAAAACATCACACCATGAGATGGATTTAGGTAACCATAGTCCAGTCTCTAGTAATGCAGAGGAGATAATGTATAAATTAATACCAGGCTAATGAATATGGGTTTACGACACATTGTTCAGATGCTATTCTAAATATTTTCAAAGTTTGGGCAAGTTTTCTTATACCCTTTGGTCTCAGGAGCTTCTCAGTTGGCATCTTGTATTAATCTGGGTGAAATTTTGGTGCACTGAAATAATTGAGAAATATGCCCCTGATTTTTAGAGGGTTAAGATTTTTTGCATGCTATCTACAGTGGTGGCTATAGATGAACGTTAACGGGATAAGAAAAATGCATGGCAGTCATTGTTCCGCAATGCACAGCACACATGCAAATATATTGTAGATTTAATGATTTGTTGAATGAGTATAAAAGCTGGATGCATAAAGGAGATTTATTTTTAACTGATTAATACCATCTGTCACTAGCTTTTTACTGTGCTGCCATAAAAGTTTGTTTCTGAGTATCAGCAGTTCAGTCAAATAAAAAAAAAAAAAGTCTGTTTTTTGTGGTGTTCTTCCTCTATCCTTTTTTACCCGTTGGATGGGTTCTGGGAATGGTGAATGCATGAGATTATAAGTACATGAAACATAGGTGAAGTGCACCTAAAAGCTTCTTAAGCAAAGATTTCAAAATTACTCAGGAAGGAAAAAACATATTTTAAAATGACCTAAATTATACAGTATGGGTATATTCCATATCTGACTCTGCTAATTCTTGGATCTTCATACAATATGAAACAACTAAGGGAGAAGTGCAGATCCATGGATTTTAGCACTTTCAGCCATAGTGCAAATGAGTTTTAGATTCTGACATAAATGAGCTGAGAGTACTCTGAAAAAATGTGTCTGCATCCAAGGCATAAATTCCCCTGCCACCTCTGCACTGCTGCAAACTATACTTCTTTCATCTGTGGAGTGAATGGTAAAGTGCTTCAAAATGAATGCCTGACCTGCCAAAGGGGAGGGCACAAGGCAGTGACATTTAGAGCTGGGTGAATCTTTTTTTTTCCCAGGGAATAGTAAATTGGTTGAAAAGTTCAGTTTTGGTTTTCCTGAAATATTCATAAATTCCACCTGAATTCAGGAAATAGTTTTGGCATGCGCAAAATAGAAGGAAGTTCCTTACAAAGCTGCCAGACGAGGAGGTAGGTGTCTGTAGCTCAGAGGTGAGAGTTCTTGTTTATGAGACTCGCACCTTGCTTCAATCTTTTCCTCTGCCCTAAAGGTACCCACATCTATCTACCTAGCTTGTCTCTGCCTCGATGAATCGTAAAGTATTTTTTACAAAGTGGAACAGTACCAAGAGGGATAGAAGCAGCTTCATGTCAGACCCTGTCTCAGGGTTAGGACTGTAATTTGTGAGGGAGACCAGACACTCGAATTCAAAAACCTTTTCTGCATGTCCCTTCATTCCTGTTATAGTGGCTGTGTCAGACCGTATTGACCTGTATGGCTCCCTCTACACATTACAGGTGTTGTGCAATTACCTGGAGACCAGCGACACATGCAAAGCAGCTATCACACAATCAAAAAAACTCCAATCGACTATAAAGTTAGACCTAAAAAATGTGTACCAACTTCATAGTTAGACCTAAAAAATGTGTATTAACTTTATAGTTGATTGCTATTGAGCTTTAATTTAATGTAGCAGGGTCTTCTCTGTGGCTGAGAGCTCCATCAGATGATGGGGCTCCCAGCTGTAGGGGTGCAATGTGCTCAGCATAAAACCCCCAAGCCCTAGGGATCCCAGCAGGTGCAGTTCCCAGGATCCAGGTGTTTCCCACACCCAAGAGCCTTAGGGATCACAATAGTGGGAAATGCCCAGATCCCAGGGATCATGACTCCTGCAATCCCCAAGGGTCAGGGGCCTGGGAACCCTCCTCCTCCAGGGGCTAAAGGATTGTGGTGATCCTCTGGCTCCATGGGTTTCTCCCTCCTCCCGGAGGGTTTCCTGCACCCCTGGAGTAGGGAGATCACTGCAGCAGCTCTCCTTCAGCCCCAGGGGTGCATGGGCACCCCTGTAGCTCAGAGCCTCTCAACTGGGTTGTGTGGGGCTCCCAGCTTCAGGAGCTCCCCCTGCAACCACAAGAAGGCACAGTTGGGCTCCCCCTGCGCCAGCAATAAGGCATGATGGGATCTAATGTGTGATCCCACAATTGTGCTTCCTGCCATGCACATGTGGCATGGCAGTAGGCATGATTGTGTGAATTGAACATTAGATCCCCTCGTGCCTTTAGTTTCACATTTAGAGGGGGCCTATGGGAAATAAAACTAAACGTGGATTGGGTGGCATGTGTCTAATCTGCAATCAGATTATCCTAAACTTCAGATGCCTGAGATACAATTCATTTGGTAGCTCCAGAAGACAGGGCAGTATGGGAGCCAAGGGCCTAATCTCTCTCAACAAGTCTTTGGTTTCTTCATCCTTATTATTTCTTTTCTCATCCTTTCCTTCAGCTTATTTCACTGTATTTTTCCTTCCTTCACTGCCCCACTATTTTTTCTTATCTACTTCTTTTTCCTTTCCTTTTGCTGCTCCCTTTTTCCTCATCATTTCTGCTCAAACCTCTCTCCATTTCCCCTCCAGTCTCTCTCACTGTAGAGAAAGGCCAGGATCAATATGCAGAACTAAGCAACCCTGAATCCCGAGCTCTGAACTTTGCTACGGTCTCTCAGAGTAATTCGCTTGCTTTTCTTTGGTCTTGAATTTCCAGCTATGGCAGGGCCTTACATTTGACTTTCCTGAAATTATTTCATTATTGCAGCCACGAGCAGTGAGACACAAATCATTCTCTTCCCTACATTCACCATACGCCTGCACTTGTGGTAAACCGAAACTTTACCCTCTGAAAACGGAAGAGAGCTGTCATGTCCCTAAATGCAAGCTTGATAAGGCGCAGGCAGTAGTCTTTGCAGCAGTACTTGCCTTCCATTTCTTTCACTTTCCCTGAGCTGGGCGATGGAGGGGACTACTACTGGAGGGGCTGTGGATTTGCTTGCCCTTCTTTAACCCATGACACACTGGTATGGGGAGCTATAAATAGTGAGAAACTCTCCAGCCTGATTTTTTTTTTTTTTTTTTTTTTTTTTTTACCTATTAAGGTTTGAAACATTGCCAAGTTCTTACATCTTTAAAAACCCTAAACCATTTTGATTTTCTGGCTTCAGGGCTTCTATCCATTTCTGAAGAAAGACTAGACAATGCCCAGGAGGACCTCTTAGCCTTCTTTTTTGGGCACTGGGAAATATTTCCTTTCCGAGCTAGGTAGGAGAGAGGCAGATGACTACTTTATTGCCCTATGGCCTTCACAGCTGTGGTGGGCCTCTTTGTAGGAGAGCTAGCACATATAAGGATCGTCTCCCTTGCTCCTGCTGCTGGGTCTGACAGTAGCTCCTTTACCTCCGGTTCTCCTTTTGGGTAGCAGCAGGTTTCCTTTCAAACGTCTGTATAGACAGCAGCATCTCTCATCTCAGCTTAAAAAGGAGACAGGTCAGCCTCCGTTTTTCTTGTTCCTGTTACTTTGCAGCTTTGACTAGAGGATTTTTTTTTTCCTGAGCTAACAGGATTCTTTCTCACTGATAGAAAAATCCTTCCATATAAAGACTGGCAGCACTCAGAGAGAGGTAATACTTAGTTACCTCCTGCTTTACACTCTTGCTAAGGTACTACATTTAAACCTCTTGAATGGAAACTGCCTCTAGCATGCGAAGACATGAAATCAGATGAAGCAGAAAGAGATAATGTGTTTTTTTTTTTCCCACTCCCTCTGGTTCCACTATCCTGCAGTGGGATCAAACCCACCTGCTATGACCCATGGCCAACACATGATAAACTGAGCTGTAAAAATGAAGCACATCCTAAACATTACATAATAAGAAGTGGGGACTTTAATAGTGTTTCCCTTTTATTATGTCTTTTTAATATTTTTTTTTTTTGGGTGGGGGGGAAAATAACCAGTAACTATTTCTTTTTTTTCATTCCCTTCCATTATAAACCAGGACTGGCCACATCTGCAGCCCAGAGGTTGAACAATTTGCTATAGCCATATGATCACGGTTAGTCATTTTTCTCTTCATTCCTGCCTTGTGTAAACTAACCGAGGAAGATCCATCTTCCTATTTTAGCTTTGGTGAAACAGCAACCAAAAAAAAATTATCACTGCTTTGAAGCTGGTAGCTGGTTTCTATTGGGTCCTGCTTTTGGTAATTCTCCCATTTCCTGTTTGTGTCAGTAGTGCCTTAAACGTGTGGCATTGCCTTGTGCTTTTAAAAAAGCTGAGGTCCATGGTTGTACTCTTGTTTGCAGTGCTTTGGAGTTTCAGGATGAAAAAATGGATAAATAATCTAATGATGTTATTTTTGAGTCATTTTTTTCAGTGACTCAGTTTAAAAAAAATGTTTTTGCACGTGGCCCACATTTTTTTCTTGTTTTTATGGACTCTTCCAGCATATAAGCTATATCCTTTTTGCCTGATTTTGCATTTGCTAGGAGAAGAAATTACAGTGCATACACGGAGTGCCTCTGGCTCCAACAGGATGCGCTGGCAGGTTGGTGAGAGAGTCAACTCAACAGGTCCTTAGATATTTTTGTTTTCTTGTAGGCTGCTGTAAAGCACCCTTTTTTGGCCCACACAGCATGGTCATCCTTTCTGAAGACAAGTGCGTAAGTGGGGAAGGACTCTCAAACAACATTACTGCTTCTGCCCAGGTACGCAAAAACACTTTCTAACTTATCTGATCCTTTGAGAAAACAACCAATTTCGATTCAGTTGTAGCAACCCCGTCCCTTGAGTGGCTTTATCAATGGGCTTCTGAATAAAGACTTGATTAATCCTATTTCTGAATTAGACCCAGCAACATTGCTACCCTAAAAACGAGCTCTGTTACTGAAAATGCTTGCCTTAACTCTGTGTCTTCAAATGTTACATTTTGTACTCAAAGGTATTGTTTTGGGGAGTGTGTTAACTTTATTTGAGCAACTTTTCCAGGAACAGAAAATTTACCACATGCAGTTCTGTAGTATAAGTCATTTTATTGGTCTGGAAACCTTGATCCTTTAAGGCTTGTATCAGCAGTATGTATAAGCTTCAGCAGATTCACTTAAATATTTTTAAGACTATGCTGTGTAGAGTTTCCAGAATTTGTAGAGATTTAAGGATGCAATCCTGGCTTCATTAAAGTCAGTGGTTAAACCCCACTGAAGATGTGGGAAATAAAGTGATTTATTATGGAATCTATATTTCCTTTCACTTGTGTGCATGTTTCCAACCACTGTTATGTTAGCATTTTGGTCTCCTTATGGGATATGTTTTCTTTGAGAGTGTCTACACGTTGCCCTATGGCACTGTAGCGATGGGCTCTGTCGCCATATGGCATGCTACAGCAATGTAGCAATCACACGTGTCTACCCATGATTTCCAGCTATGTCGCCATAGTGGTGTGCTCCCCGGATATAGCATGGCACTGTGGTAACAAAGCAGTAAAATCTACCTGTGTGCCATGTGCATAGTGCAGTAACTGCCCATACTGTGCCGTGCTTTAGTATTTTCAAAAGAAAGTACTAAAGCATGGTGTGATAGCAACCTCACCGTATGCTGACATGCAGACACACCCGTCATGATTGTAAATCCCAAGGGAGCACAATGAAACACAGCAAATTTCATGTGGAAAATTACTATGTCCAAGAGACTTCATTAAAAGTTCAGAAGTGGAAGGCACCACTACCTTAAAAGAAGTTTAATTCTTTAAAGATTTTAGCCAGATTTTCAATTGGACTAAATTAGCATTGCTTCATATAAGTTATATCATTTTACACATGCTGAGGATTGGTTGTGTATCTGTTAAGATTTACACAGGAAATCTCGTAACTAACTTTTTTGAGACTCTTCATATAAGGGTGAGAAACAGGAAGGAGCAGGGAAAG